AAAAAAATATTATATTTTTTATAAAAATAATATCGACCTATTTTATTTTTTAAAAATTAAAAAAATATATTTTAATATCATATCACTTTAGTAAATTCATATTGAAAAAAAAAAACTGTTTTATGATGTGAATTGTAACGTAGTTTACTCGTAAAGTTATTTAAACGTTTTTAATTTTAATTTTATATTATTTTATTTAAAATATTTAAATAATAAAAAAATAATTTTTATATAATTTTTCTATCTCATTTTTTTATATAATTTGATTGTCATTTAAATAATTGATTATTTTAATTCATGTGAAACTCATAATATTGAATGCATTCACTCTTTTAATAACATGTGAAAGTTATATAAAAAGATAGTATAAAAAATTTATTTTTATAATACCATTCTAAATAATTTTATTAAATGAATTACATACATCTAGTTTGCAAATATAATTTTATATATTAAAAAAGATTAAAACATTTTATTTTAAAATATAAATTAAAATATTTGTTATTATTTCTTATAATATTTATTAAAAATAACATAATTTTAAAATACCAAAAACATTAACGCTTTTTTATTATTCCAAAAATTCCAATCGTCGGCCCAATCCAACGGTCAGAATCTCCTCGTGTCCTTCTCCGATGCCCCAAAAAATTAAAGATAACGGCCCACCTGCCCAAAACGAACATATTCTCTCCCCCTTTTTAGCAGTTCCGTGAGACTGTGAAACAAAAACAAAAAGAGCGACAGCTCCTTCTCTTTCCCTGACCCTGAACGCATAAAAACAAAAGCGAAAATTCGCAGCCATTTCCACGAAACTTCTCTCCTTAAAATCCAATTCCCTCAGGTTTCTTATTTTCACTTTCCCGCTCCCCCTCCACCCTTTCTCTCTTTTTTTTTTTTTTCCTGAGATTTTTCGCATTCCTTTTAGCGAATAAAAGATTGAATGAAATCTTTGCCTTTTTGTTTTTCCGAGCGAAAACGGAGAGTAAGATAAGGAAAAGGAGGATTCTGCATTTTGTGTTTGTTTTCGAGAAATGGAAAGTTTGTAGTGAGAGTGAGTGAGTGAGTGAGTGAGAGAGGGAAGGAAAAGTTTGCTTTGGATTTTTTTGCTTTTTCTTAGCATTTTTCTCGGTAGCCAAACGGGAGGCTAGCTGGAGGAAGATGCAGACGAGGTTTATGGAGAGACCGAACAGTGTTGCGAGGGAGAAGAGAGGTTTAGATTCGAGTTCTGGTGACGAAGGACCTGATAGGAAACGGCCTGCGCTTGCTAGGTGACTTTCTACTTCACTCCTTCAGTACTCATTTTGTTTTAGCTTTGTTTGGTTTAATGTTAATGTAAATGTGTTGAAGTTGTTGGTTGGATCTTAGGTTAGCTTTCGAGTGACTGCTGCTTCAATAATTTAAAGTGTAATTTGACGAAGCAGCAATGGTTTTCTTGAACTCTATATGAGATATAGCTTCAATTTTTTAGTGAAAGTGATTCTTTAGAAGAATTAAATTCCATTAAGTATTTACTAATTTCCCTGAAAAAAAAATTGTTTCAGATCAGTTTTTGTGTAGTGTTGGGGAAGTTATGGCAATGATTTTATGTCAGCAAGACTCATCCTGAGAGCACTAACCTGTTTTAGTATATGCTGTGCTAAAATCTAATTTTGTAACTTGATAAATAGGAAGGAACTTTTGACCATGCTCTTAATGTCCAACATGTGAATATATTGCTAAAATTAGCGTAGTCTAGGAAAAGAAAAGTTTACAGTGAAAACAATTATTGATAATAAGTTAGTGATTATGTGACTGTATTCCTGAGTCAAGAAAATTTTGAAGCCTAATCTTATCACCTGGAAATGTTGGGTAAATTTTTTATGACAAAAATAAATTAAATATTTTGATGTACAGTTTATTTTGTACTTTTTGTCAAGGCTGGAAGTTCTACCACTTTTTCTCTTTTGGTGTTTAAGAGAGACAATGTTAAACTAAGGTTGCAATTATGATGCAGTGTAATTGTTGAAGCTCTGAAGGTTGATAGTCTGCAGAAACTCTGCGCATCATTGGAGCCTATTCTTCGTAGAGTTGTAAGATGAATATTTTTCTTCTGGATTTTATTTCTCTTTGGAGTTGACGCTCACTGACGCATGCAATTGTAGGTGAAGTTTTTGTATGTTTCTTAACCTTGAACTTTTAATGATGCTGAACAGGTGAGTGAGGAAGTAGAGCGAGCTTTAGCAAAATTAGGCCCCACCAAGCTTCCTGTTAGGTACACAAAATTTTCTTAAATCATAGGAAACAAAAAATAGTTTGCAGCGTATACATGGGTATTGCACTTGATGCTGTACCACTGCATGCCTTGTTTCGTCTTGTCATTGTTTCACATGTGATAACTTCTTGTCTGTTGTCTGTGCAAAGCTGTTAGTGTGACACATAAATGGGCCACATTGTTATTGCGATCCCATTTTCAAATTCATTATTGGCATGTTAGCAAGCATCTTGGGCACATTTGTAAGTGACCATTTGTCTCTGTAGCTTGAGACATATTTATTGGCCATATTTTATTTATTTTAACTCTGGCTTCGGATGCCTACATTATGCGTGTTGGATTCACTAGCTAGTAATTTTGCTTATCATTTAGCTCCTGCCCGGAGCAACTTGCACTAATTTTGAAATGAGTTACCTACCATTACATTTATGAGGATCAGATTCACCATTTCCCTGGATAAGTAAAGTTATAAAATTGATATATGCTATGCTCTTTTGAAGCAATTTGAGACCCAAGTTGCTGCTATAATATCTTGATTCATTCTTCTAATGGTTTAAAATGGCACAGGTCTTCTCCTAAGTGCCTTGAGGGACCTGATGGAAGAAATTTGCAACTGCACTTTCAATGCACGTTGTCCCTCCCTCTCTTTACTGGAGGGAAAGTCGAAGGCGAGCAGGGTGCTGCAATCCATGTTGTATTGATTGATGCAAACACTGGTCAGATTGTCACATCTGGTCCAGAGTCTTCAGTGAAACTAGATATTGTTGTGCTTGAAGGTGATTTTAATAATGAAAATAATAACTGGACTCAAGAAGAATTTGAGAGTCATATAGTCAAAGAGCGTGAAGGAAAGAGACCACTTCTAACTGGAGATCTGCAAGTGACACTAAAGGAGGGTATTGGGACACTGGGGGAGCTGACATTCACTGACAACTCAAGCTGGATAAGAAGCAGGAAATTTAGGCTAGGACTGAAGGTTGCCCCAGGTTCTTGTGAAGGAATTCGAATCTGTGAAGCAAAGACAGATGCTTTTACTGTAAAGGATCACCGAGGAGAATGTGAGTTCTTAATTTGTCTCAAAAAATTCTGCACATTCTTTTTTTCCCCTTGTTGAGGCTGATAGTGCATTTTTTTAAAAAAATTATTTATTTATGCCCCTTCTCCTCAGTATACAAGAAACACTATCCACCTGCATTGGGAGATGAGGTATGGAGATTGGAGAAAATTGGCAAAGATGGTTCATTTCACAGGAGGCTAAATAAAGCAGGAATATATACTGTCGAAGACTTTCTACGACTTCTTGTTAGAGATTCACAGCGGCTGAGAAATGTAAGAGTTTAATATCTCATGTTTGAATAATTAGTTCTATTCCATTCGTGGTTTATTACTCCTTCTCTCACCCACTTGCTCTAGATTCTCGGAAGTGGAATGTCAAATAAGATGTGGGATGTCCTGTTGGAGCATGCAAAAACTTGTGTTCTAAGTGGGAAGCTTTATATTTACCCTGATCATGTGAGGAATGTTGGTGTAGTCTTCAACGAAATTTTTGAATTGAGTGGCCTAATAGCTAATGGACAATATTATGCAGCTGATTCTCTTTCTGAAGATCAAAAGGTAGACAACCATGCCCTTCCTTGTTATTCATAATAATCTTACATTTCATGAATTGGAGTTAGTTGATATTCTGATTTTTAAATCTGGTTCAATTTCTATGTTTAGTGTGTGAGTAAGAGCATCTATTGATTGCCATAAAATTTTTAAATATGTTTAACTAATTCATATGCAGCTTTTATGAAAATAAGTGTTTGTTTCCATCAATTTGACATAAGGATGTAGCCTGAGAATTTTGATTTCATTCTTGCAGGTCTGTGTGGATGCATTGGTGAAAAATGCTTATGACAACTGGATGCATGTGGTAGAATATGAGGACAAGTCTCTTTTAAACTTTAACCAGAGTGACAGTGCAGGTGCTTCTGGGACCAATGCCCCAGCGGATCCACAAGATCACCATCAACATCATCCAAACTCAATTAATCAGGAACACACTCTATCAAGCCTATCAGTTCCCGTTCCGCCACATCAGTCTCTCACGGAATCAGGTCTAAATGTTGGAGGTATATATTTTCAACTGTAGGATTATTTAGAATGGATTTGATGATGCATAAAGTGGCTGGCAGTTGAAAAAACCAATTTTTGCAATGTCAAGTAAAATTAAAGTTTTCTAACAAACAAACTCTCATATTGCATGTGAACTGGGAATCTTGATGTGTTCGTCCTACTTACCT